ATAGTCATATTTTCCACTGGGTTCCCCCAGAGTGTCCCATATTTCCTTCTGAGAGGGAACTGGCTGCGTAATTTGGACTTTCTCTAATTCCAACCTCAAGCCCTCAGTGACTTGTGTAAATCCTTCATTTTGATCCCCTTGGCCTTCAGTAGCCTGGGTTTCTCCTGCAACAGCCACAGGTCCAGCAATCGAAGTGTCTGGTGTATTCTGGATGCCTTCAATGACTTCCTCGCTGACTTCGACCATCACCCAGTTTTCGACTCCAATGTCCTTCTCTCCTGTTAGGGTGTCGCTTCGATCAATTTCCACCATGTTGACTTCTCCAACGCATGCAGGCTCGGAGTAGTTGGTGTCTGCGACGTCCAAAGGATCTTCGTCCACTTTCATCTTCACCTTATCAGCAAACTTTAATCTGCCATCTTTGATTGCGTTTTGAATCAAATCCCTGAAAAGAAAACATTGTGAGGTCTTGTGGCCTAGGAAACTATGATATTTGCAAAATCCCCTTTTCTTCCTCTGGTCCAAAGGGGGTATTTTGACATTTGATGGCACAATTAGTTGGCCATCTTTGACAAGCAAGTCAAAGATTTCGTCACATTTAGTGACATCGAAGGTGTAAACCTTCTTTGGAAACTTATCACTTTTCTCATTTTCAACAATATCTTTCCCTTTCGTAGGAACTAACATTTTGCAGGAGTAAGGCGGGGCCTGTTTTAATTCAGCGAGGTCGATTTCGACCTCTTCGAATTCGAATTCAGGATATTCTTCTACTTCCTCAGTTCCAACATAGGAAATCCTTTCTTTCTTACTATTCTTAAAGACTCGGGCTTTTTCGGCTTTTAGTCTTTCGACCTGTCGAACCCTATCGGCTAACTGAGCCATATCCCTCAAATGCTGAGTATCTAATTTCTTTCGAATAGAGTAATCCAATCCCCCAGCGGCCATTTCGACTAACTCATGCTCAGGCACTACTGTGTAACATCTGGATTTTAACAGCCTAAATCTGTTCAAATAGTCATCAATGGGTTCAGTGAACTTTCTCTTGACACTGGCCAATTCCTTCAAACTTATTTTCGATTGTCCCATGTAAAATTGTTCATGGAATAATCTCTCTAAAAGGGTCCAAGTGTCAACAGACCCAGGAGGCAACGTGGTAAACCAAGTGAAGGCATTTTTTGTCAAGGAACTTGGGAAATATTTGATTCTGAGATCTTCATTATTGGCTATATCCCCCGCTTCGGTTAAATATCTCGCTATGTGTTCGACTGTTGACTCGTTGGTATCCCCAGCGAACTTTGTAAATTTAGGGACTTTGTATCCCCTTGGTAAATCAGTATGCATTATACAATCTAGTATAGGAGAAGCGTAATTTGGCCTCCTCATTCCCATATTGAGGCCGTTTTGGGTCATGATCCTCTCTATCATGGTGGTCAGATTATTTTCTGCCAAGATGTTATCGTTTCGAATCCTATGAACGACAGCATCGGCATCTTGGTTTCGACCAACCAAAACAACTCCCCTAGGTTGTTCTCCTCGAAATTCTGGGGCTTCTGGTCTTTCGATCCTTGCCCCTGGTTCCATAACTTCCCTTTGTGGGCCCGGAATTATTGGGGCTTCTAACCTTGGTGCTCTGGCCCCTAAGTTAACCTCTTCTCTGGGTGGTCTATGAATTGGGTCGTTGGCAATCTGTTCTATAACAGGCACGTTTGTTCGAAATCCCGCCTGGTTCTGCCTACGCCTTTCTGTGGGAGCAAAGAAATCTGCTATTCGACTCATATTGTCAGCGTTTTCCCTGTTCGTCACAGTCACATTCTGAACTATTGGGGCGAATATTTCCTGCATGGTTTGCGCTAACACCCCTATCATATTGTGGTTGCTGTCATCCATCAATTGCCTAAAAGCCAACTGGTTATCTGTGGTTAGGATAGGCAATGTGCTATAACCCACTGACCCTTGGTTATTTGACATAAATTGGTTTGCCCCAGACCCAGATCCTAGTTGTGGGGATGAATTCGATGTGGAATTGTGTAAACCTGCCATAAAAGATGTTGGCATTCCGTAAGAAGAACTTCTAATTCTATTCCCATCGAAGCCGGGTGGTCTAGTTGATGGAGTGGCGAAATGGGATTGTGTCCCAGGCGGCGGAACGAATCCCCCAGGGTAGCCCATAGTTCCAGTATTTCCTAAGATCGAACTGTTGGTTGATATGCCACTTACTCCGTTGGTGGCCATGTTACTGGTTGAAGATGCGACAGACTGTGCATTCGAAGGGATTACATTAGATGTTCCGCTCGAAATGGACGCGTTAGTGCCTGTTGCCTGCGGGCCACCTTGGTCTCCTTGTTGATTGTCTGAATTAGACATTTTGTCCAAACGTTTTCTTCTGGATAAAGGTTGGTTGCTGTTGGTTATCTTACCACTTCTCAGGTTCATAAAACAGCAAACTTCTTAGGTTCCTACGTTTCTGGGATGGCTATGTCTCGACAATCCTTAATTCTGATATCCAACTATTGGTCCCACTAGGTGTGCCAATTTGTTTCCAGTGATTTCTGGTAAACAACCGCTAGTCTTCCAAACTATCGAATAATCTTTGTCAACGCTACTCAATCTCTTTGGTAACTCACAGGATCGACTAGATTGATCCTAGGACTCCTTGGATATTAAGGTTACTCTCACAATCGAACAATTATTCATGGGTGCTATTGTACAAATGTTTGGTTTATTTCGATCCCTCTCTCTAAGGGTTTAAAAATATGGTCAAAATGTATGTGAAAACTAAGTTATACAAATAATTGCTAATTGTAATGCTGATTGAAAAGACATATAAAACTGTATGGAAAATGAAGTAACTGGTTTCGACCCATAAAACATTTAACACAAAAGGTTTCTGGAATGTGGAAGTTTAAAATGTGAAGAAAGCGTTTAATGCAAGAAATCTAGAAATGACTTTAAGTGAAAGTACATGTTTGAAGAATAATACTTGAAAGTAAAGGTATTGAGAGCGTAAAAGTTCTCTGAAATATAGAGTGCTCGAAATATAAAGAAAGCAGTAAAATATAAAACTTTGAAGAAAAGACTTTGAAATGAAAAGACAGTAGATAAAGAAACTTGCAAATGTTATTCGACAGAAAGAAAAAGAAGGAAAGTGCTGGAAATAGTAAAAAAGCTTTTATTAAATTAGAAATACATGGTGCTATCATACATACATTTCTCTTGCATTCGTTTCCCTTGCCATGTGGTAGTTTGAATGTTATTGAGTATTTTGTATAACAGATATGACACACTGAAATCCTAACACTAAGACTTCTATTTATACTAATTCGACCCTAACGGTCTCGCTACAAGATCATGCCACGTTTCGAACATGCAAGACAATGCTTCTTTCATCTTTCCACGTGTCCCCAAATGCTCCAACACATAACTTTCAAACTTTGAAAGTCCCGCTTTCATTTAAATTTTAAATGCTTTGGTGTTTCTCTGTTTCGAACGCTCTTCTCAGACCTAGCTTCGCTGCTGTTTCGAGACCCCTTTGGATACGCTCCCATGATCACCGTTCGAAGCTTCAAGCTTTGACACACTCATTCGAAACACTGCTTCTGCAATTTCGAAGCGTGGTGTTTTAATTCCATTTCGATCAGAACTTCTAGCTCTTTTTGAATTCTAAATAACACTATCAAAATCTTCAGCCAACAACACCCCCCGCCCCGCGGGGACCCCGCCCCGCCTATTATTTTAATATAGTTAATTTAATATATATATTTTAGATTAGGTTTTTTAGTCATTTCCTTTATGTTTATTTATAAAAATAAATAAATAAATATTCATGTATTTATTAAGAGAGAGAAATGTAAATATTAGTATTTTTTAATAACATAATAAATATGTGAATTCTTTGTGCTTTTTATTTTTATAGAAAATATAAACATTTTAAAAAAATAAAATATTAATGAATAAATGTAGGATCTATGGGGATCCCCGCGGGGAACGGGGATCCGCGGGGAACGGGGATGGGGATAGAAATTCCCCCGTGACGGAGATCGGGGACGGGGACGGGGAATGAATTTGATGGCGGGGAAAAAGATGGGGAAGTGTCCCCCCGGCCCCGCCCCGCCCCATTGACATCCCTAGTTGGCACCCCTAGCATGATACTCCTATAAAATTCAAGCAATAAAATCCCATAGAGTTCAAGCAATAATACCTCGCATGAGCTTTATTAAAATAAAAAATATAAGAGTTCTACTTGCAGTTCCAATTATATTTACCGAGTGAAACTATCTTAAAAATTATATGGGTTAAATGTACAATTCCCGTTTATAATATAGACGAGTCTCATTTTACCCCTCTTTAATATTTTGTTTTTTAAAATATCTCCTTGAAATTTTAAAATTTTAAGTCTTTTGTTCCTTAAGTACAAAAATTAATCCCTGTAAAATAATTTTTTTTATTTACCCCCTAGATTCAGAGTTAAATTTGTATGTTTAGGGGGATAATTCAAAAAAAATAAAATTACAGGGAATATTCCAAAAAAAATTAAACGGGGTAAACCAAAACTCATTTATATTATAAGGAGAATTGTTCATTTAACTCCGATTCTATAAAATCTAATATAAATTATACTCCTTCCTTTTCAAATGAATGTCGTTTTAAGAAATAAATTTTATTTCAAAATAATTTTTGTTTTCACTTTTTAATTTAATAATGACTACTATTTTTCAAATGTATCATTTACTTTTTACTCTCTGTACTATTTTTAATATACTAATAAAATTAATTTTCTAAAAGTATAATATCTTATGACAATATTATTATATTTTTTAATTTATATGTAAAAACGTTAAACGACAACCATTTTAAAATGGATGAGTAATGTTAAAGCCTTTTACCCATTTATATGACTTTCACAATGTGTAAACATTCATGTTCAAATCTCTGCCAAAAGCAAAGCAATTGCAGCTCTAGCTTGTCACAACTTTTACTAATTTAACAGAGGCATCACATCACTAGTGGTTTTGAGAGAGGGTGTTGCTTTTAGAATCTAGCAACAGTTCATTTAGAATGATTGGATCTTTAAGCACTGCATTAACAGTAGAGGGAAGCTCATTTGAAGTATATCCATCATCCTTAATGTAAACTAGGTTTAACACTCTCACCATTTTCCAAAACAAATCCTTGCATTCTCTTGGAACTAAGCTTCCTTTTTCCTTCAAAACTAACCTGAGGAGTTCTCGACCCTCGTCCTCAATAACACCCTTCATCTTATCAACCGCATCTTCGTAAGTAACAACTCCATTACCATGAATCATATGCAAACTCACTGCATTCAGTTTCCCTTCCTCAGATTCTTTCTACAAAAATATTAGTCACCTAAGTTCAAATTCTTACCACTAAGTTGAGAAGGAATGGACATTGGACTACATACCTTTACAGTTTGAATATCGTTGAGAAGACGCCCGCAAGTGCTCGTGATCTTCAAGAGATGATTCAATTCCTGAGTTTCAGCAATATCATCTGAAAGCTTAGGTCCAACAAGATAGAGTGCTGGAATAACAACTGGTCCTAAGGCAAACGATACGTATGCAGCTTGCATATAATCATCCATTGTTGGGATGGCCTTGGTTCTCGACCACTCAGCTTCTGTAAACATAGCCCTCAACAAATCTAACCACTGCAAAGTAAACAAAGTCAATCCATTAAGCCAGTCTTTAGTTCTGCAGTGATGAAAATAAAATGATTTTCATGCTCTCACAATCTTGATAACATTGTCTTTCACATTGCGTCCCTGTCGCTCGATAGATTTCTCTCCAATCTCACAGATTGTGCTACGAACTGCAGAAAATATTATCTTAACCGTCTCAGAACAACAAATAGTATTGACATCTACATCCCACCTGCAATTCCATTTCTACAACATTTGAGAGAGAATTCAAAACGAAATCAAGAGACTGCACAGCTTTGATTAAGAATAGGAGTATACTTCTCAACTAGTTGAATAAGGCTCAGTTGCTCTTTTTCAGAGCCAAAGAAATCAAAGAAATCATCAACAACGGTTGTGAGCACCGCATTTTTGGCCCAAGATATGCGAGCATCAGAAAGTTCGGGCGAAAAAAAAGTGGCCGCGCTGGAAAAGTAACAATATGTCATTTTCTGCCTTGCGAATTCTAGTTTGTCTAGTCTGCTTTCAACAACCCACCTGCATATGATGGAGAGTTTGCATTATAAATCCTTCAGCTACGATTATGATTTTTCTACATGGATCTTCGGGGAGACACATTCAATTCTGAAATTTTAGAAAGAATTTAAAGAAAGATATACCTTGAAAGTTGTTTCAACTCTTTATTGTGTATTGATTGGCAAAGATTGAAGTCTTCAATTCCTAGCTTCAATATTTCTTGGTTTGCAAGATTGCAGGATCTGTGTCTTACAAAAAGTCAAGAACTTGACCACAAAAAAGAGAGGAATGAAACAAACTAGTGGAGGTGCACCTGTATGATGTTTTTAAAATCCTTGTTTCGTCTACATTATAATGCTCCACCGATCTTCTGTTTAATAAGCGCTCCAAATCCGCGTGATATGGAAACTTAAGAACATCATTGATCTAAGGTGCAAAAACATTGCAGTTTTCATGATGCATTGCAATATTGTTTATATGCAGTTAAATTTAGTGAAAGACTGAGATGATAAACTACCTCTGTATCAACATAAATACCAAGTTTATCAGCATACAATTGGTAACTAAACGAATCCTGATTCAGAAGATTTCTTGTCCAACAACTTTGTTTTACTAAAACTGATTCATCCGGATGTATAATGACTTGTGAGGCCTTATATAGCTCTAAAACAGCACTAGCATCCTTCAAGTACCCTTTCAACGAGTGCGGAAATTTATCTTCTGAATATCGATAAAAGGGATCTACAAAGACAACATACAGTTCAGCAAAAAACAGAAATTATCAACTTCTTACAACACGTTTAAATGTTCCAACCTGAAGAGACATCATAACCATTGAGACGCAACATTCGAAATGCCATTGCACAGGTTGTTGGGTCTAAAAATATATCTTCTTCTCCTTGTAGCCAATATCTATTTTTTCACGAATTAAAATGAAAATGAAAGGTTTCTATGCATGAAGAAATGTTTGTGTGTCTTCAAACTTGAGTGCTATTTAGATATACAACTTAATTAAACACTTACGTATAAACTTGAATATCAAATGTACAACTACCTGTATGTTTCATTCAATACATTTTGAATTTCGTCTTTGAAATGACGATTAATCCCCAATCTTTCGAGACTATCAATCATATAAAGCCGGGCATATGTATCGAAAGGATAAACAGTTGGAACTGAATTTTTGAAAAACCAAAAAAAAAGTTTAATTAATGCATAAAAGGTAATTAACCAAAATAAGTTTGGAGAAACATAAGTCAGAAAATAAACCTGCATTTCCAAACTTTTGTAATACTGATTGGAGGTAACTAAGACAGTGAGCATTGTTAAATTGACGAAAAACTGCTGCTGTTGTAGCTGGTGAATTGAACAAAGATCCATTATTTCTTTGATACTTGATGATTGTATTCATGTCCAATGAGTTCAACATTCCTTCTGATACATATGCTAAATATTCTTTCCACCCTTCTGAATCGCTTTCAAAGCCTCTATATCAAAGACAAATGCACCAGAAAGTGCTCAGTTTCGAGAATATTTTTCTATAAATAGAAGTTTTTCCACCTTTTTTCTTCACTCGAGATATTCGACAAACATCATCAGAAAATAAAAATACTTCTTCCGTAATAAATTATAAATAAATTTAACTTTTTTAGTATATTTGATAATTAATGTATGTAGTCAAATATATTAAAAAAATCAAATTTATTTATAATTTGTTACCGAAGGAGTAGTACCTTTGGAGCTCTTTGTCCCTCTTCTGGAACATTGCTTCAAATGTTGTTGCTCCAAGTGCAATATTAATGCCCAAAGTTTGTGCATATTCAATCATTGAAGTAAAAAGTATATCAAATCCTATGGGAAGGTGTTGCTTCTCATCGTTGATGATTGAACTAAAGTTTAACTCAATAAATTCAAGTCCTGTAAAAATATCAAGAAACTCATGCATTTTAAAAATAAAACATACAATGTTAATATTAAAACGGATAAACAAACACGTTAGTTTCTGTACCCTTATTCATCTTATCTTCACCAATACCCCATTGCTTTAACGCAAGGATACATGCTAATGTAGACAAAAGAACATCATTCTTCAACAATGGATGGCGATCCGGAAGGCCCCAAGAACCATCAACAAGTTGGTTATCTAGCAACCAATTCAAACATTGAGGAAAAAAGGGGGCGTGATGCGACATTGAAGAAGGAATCATTGCCACAAAAGCAGTATCATATGAAGAAACTGAAAGTTCAACCTTGTTGAACATTTTCTTGATTCTTTCTTTAGTGTCTTCCAAACGCTACAAGTAATAAAATTCATTTTTTTTTCTTTACACTCAAGAAAGATTTATATACACATAAAGAAAAAAGTTTAAAAGTTGAATGTCATACCAAAAGTGTATTGTTATTCTTTTTTGGCATTGATGCAATCGTAGCAGAATCTGTTAAGATGGAAATATTATCAATGTCTGTGTTTAAAATCAACACAAACACTTGTAATTATGTTTAATTTATTTATTTTAAAAAATTATTATTGATATTAACGGTGTCATATTTCCGATATATTTATTTCATAGAAAAAAACAAAAAAAACTAGAAAATTTTGTAAAAGTGTTAGAAATATATAGAAAACAATAGTACAAGTGAGAGCTTACCTGAAGTTGTAAAAATGCAACATTGAGGAGTGCTGAAGTGTGAAAGAGACATGATGTCTTGTTGTAAACTTATAGACTGTAGTTAGAGTTAAAATTTCAAGAGGTATTTATAACCTTCAAACTTGATAAATAATTATAAATTTAATATAAAATAATAATTAATAAGACCAACTTATTATTGATTAAGATAAGACCAACAATCCTGCAAGCTGCATATTAAGATCTAATATATGTTATGTAATATTGTGTTGTTGGTTAAAACAAAATTAAATCAAAGCAAGTGACATTAGTATGACCGTGTTTTTCACAAAATATCAATTTTGTTTTGTTTTCTTATATTAAACATTAATAAGATTCGTGGTTTTTGTCTTTTTGGTTGTAGCACTAAATGGCATCGTTGAACAAACATATTTGTAAAATTGGAGAATCTTTGTCAAAATAAATTGTAAGACTGTAGGAAACAAGATAAAGCAATGAAGATTAGAGGCTGCTTTGTACATTCTATGGTAGTTTCACATGTCTCATTTCTTCACCAAAGCAGCAATAAAATTGATCCGATGGAGATTAGATGTTGCACCATACATATTGAAACATCGTGTTTCACATGTTATGTTAGAATATTCAAAATAACTCTTTTCATATAGATTCTTTTTTAGAGTAAATCTTGAACGACATCTTTTTTCAAGGTACATCCAATCAAATCTTCTTTGACTGAATTAAGTCCAAATCTTTTCCAAATAGATTTTCAATTAACACCACAGACTTCTAAAAAAAACTTATGTATTTTCTAAAGAAATCAAGACCACAACTCTTCTTAAGAAAATTTGAAGATAGTCAACACTCAAACCTTATATCAAGATGATACACACTCACATGTTAAGTCTTTTGCTTAACTAGTTCTGTCAAACACTTTATCTATATCTTGAAACATCATGTTTAAATGGTTATGTCAATCACTTAAGATTAACAACTCTTGCTTAATTGGTTTTGTCAAGTACTTTAGCTGACAAACTCTTCTTAGCAACAAACACAATCACCTCATATATGCTCGAACATATGCCAGAACATCTTGTTCCACATGTTGCCTAAAATACATCTCGTATTTATGTTGTTTTACCTAATACAGCCAAACAAAAGGAGCTACAATCTCCCCCTTTAGCCAAATTTGGCTAAATCAACTACAAGATCTGATCTTACAGAAGTAGCACATAAATAAGGTGATTGCAACATATCAAGAAATCAACTTCATCATGCTGAAATATCTTGAGCATGTTGTCCCATCCCACATGATCATTACTCCCTCTTTTGTCACAATTTCGCAAAGACATGGAAAGAACCATAAACAAAATAGTAAGCTTCAGAATCCAGAACATTAGCAAATCAGATCAATAAACAGAGTAGCAGCAGCAAAAATCAGTAGCATAAAGTCAAAAGACACAAGTTTACTCCACACAATAGTCAATACTCCATAGCAGCCAATCATACAATCACAATGTCAGTCATGCATGAACGCACAATTGGTTGTTAAGTCAGAATCGACATCAGATACTATTGACACAAAGATCATCATACACAGTAGAGGGCCACATGACAGGCTAGATGCTTTAGCATGTGCACATTCACAAACCTAGAATAGTTAGTACCCAATACATTAGGTAGAACCATTCACACAAAAGACAACAACATAAATCAGATCCACACCATACAGTCTATAGAGTCAGTAGTCAGATCATATTACTCTATACAATTAAATAATGTAGGCAGCAACAATAGGTTGAGGTGAAACAACTTTGATATTCCTTCATCAAAAAGCATATCAGATTCATCAATCAGTACACAGATGTTAGACATAACGTCTGAGACATCTTTTCCAGCCTTCAGCTTGTAACTGGTCTCAGCAAACCATGAGGAATACCATCATCATTAACCTCAATCTCCTTCATCAAATTAGGATAATAAGATCTAGTATTCAACATTTTCTTCAACAACCAATCAATAATATGAAGATCCATAAATTCATTATACATAAGTGCTTCAATAAAAGATTTTCTACATCCTTATTTGTAGTTTCTTCTTCTTCTTCCCTAGTTCCCTTTTTCCTTGATCATAATCTTATCAATAGAGGGAACCTTGCTTATGTATAATAAATTAATCATTTAAGGTGAAAGCTTCACACACTTTCCTCTATCATACGCTTTTCTAAACTCCTTCGTCATATTTTCATAGCTAGGACCATCATCAGTAATAGTCTTCATTAGCCCAACAACTTTCATGATTTCTTTGCAATCAAGACCTCCTACACTTAGCTCTCTTTCAGATGCAATTGTTCTTTGAAAAACATACCTCCACTTCTGAATACTTGTTTCATAATGGAATGACACATTATCCATGTGAACATAGGTGACATTCATAAGAATTTTCTTCCCACCGACAGTTATGGACGATTGCTTCATCACTTGTCTATGATTCACATGTTTGAACAAACCTTATATTCATTTTAGAGTTGACAAGGGAAACTTGATCGTCCTTCCTCTAACTTGGAAACTCAATCACCAACATCATATATGTTGTCTGAAATAACCTGGTTGACATCTTCATTACCATCTTTGATGACATCTTTAAGCATTTGGTTACTCCACCACAATTGAGTGCAACTACTTCCAGCATGTATACCTTGAAAATCAAAGATATGGTACTTTATTTGCTTTACTTGAAAATCATGAAAGTAGATAACATCTCTTACCATGCTCAACTCAAAAATGAAATAAATTGAAATTAAACAAAATAAAAAAGAAAACTTCATTAACCAATAAAGGGTCAAAGTCAAAATTCAAATCTTAGACTTTTGACTTGTTTCTAATATACACCTTAATAAGAAATCAAAAAGTGATATAGATAAAAACAATGAAGATAAGTTTCAAAATAAAAGTCAACAAAGTTATTCTTTGACTCTTGACTTTATCTCTAAAAAATGTTGACGAATGACAGTTATGAAGAGGACTTATGAACAAAGAATTTAATGCAAATAGTAAACTTTTGGACTATTTACCTCTAATTCTCAATCATAGAGACAATTATGCTTTTCAATGACATAGATGAAATTAAGTACTCTTGACTCTTCATCCATCTAGGCCTCTGAATGATGCAATGAAATAAATGATGCCCTGAGACTAAGAAACACTCTTGATTCCTTAATCCACATATAAATGAATGAATTCAATCAAGAACAGATAAAATGTCGTAACTCCTATCTTATTTACCTAAACCCTAATGAATGCTTTGACTGATGGAATGCATGATCAAATGAAATGATCGTACTATGCCGATGCAAGTGAAAAAATCAGGGTAAAAATTAGTGTATGGAAACTTCCTCTATTTAAACATCTTTAACTAGAGGATATGAAGAACTCTTGTCTTCAAATCATCATGGTGAAATATAGTTTAAGTACCCAACAAATCCAAATTTTTCCCTCTAATTAAATAGAATGATATGTTTATGATTATGAATGAAATATCCAAATGAAATGTTACCCTTGACTTTTTATTTGGTAGCAATACGAGTAAAAGAGATTAAGTTGATGACTCTTTTTTCTTACTGCAAATGTATGAATTGTCCAAATGAAACACTACTCTTGACTTTTCATTTGGTAGCAATATGTCTAACAAGATCGACCTCATGAGTTTTTGTCCTTACTGCAATTATATGTAATACAGATGCTATGCATATTTTGCTGGGGATATGATAGGTTAATATCAACTCAAGAGTTAACACTTCTCTAACAACTGATTTCGGTGATCATGTCCAGCCTCCCTTATTGAAGGTAGATCTATAGGGAACAAGTGATCAGATCTAGCCGCTTACACTGAAGGTAAATTCACTACGGATTAAAAGATCAGGTTTATTCGCTTCTCACTGAAGGTGGATTCTTCAAATATTAACATATCATATTCATTCACTTCTCACTGAAGGTAGATCGCAACAAACATTTAAACATGTTATACAACTCTGCATGGGATGGATTCATAACAAAGTATCATATTTTGTAGAATTTTAATCAGACTTTGTATACTTTTAACTTCTTGTATATTGCTCTTAGTGAATAAATTACACACACTTGGTCTTTTGTAGACTCAAACAAAACCTTTACAATTCTAAAACAGTAAATTAAACAACATAACTGCTACATAACTACAAAAGAAAAAACTAACGCCTTTCCTACTACCATAGTTAATACTAATCATTTATTTCTAACCCATTTAATGTTTTATTTCAACAAACTCCTCCTTAAACATTAAATGCTTCTTCGATCCAGCATCCCAATCATTTTTCTGCCTCTTTCGAATACTTCTCTTGATAGTGGTTTTGTGAAGATGTCAGCTGCTTGGTCTTTGCTTTCCACATGCCTTAGTTCCACGCTTCCTTCTTTCACATGTTCACGTATGAAGTGAAATCAAACGTCTATATGCTTGCTTTGTTCATGATTGACTGGATTCTTCGTCAGCTCAATAGCTGATTTGTTGTCCACGTGTATTATTGTTGGACCTTCTTGCTTCAGCCTCATCTTACTTGTCAACCTTCTGAGCCATACAGCATGACACACACACCAGGATGCTGCCACATACTCTGCCTCACACGTTGAAAGTGTCACTATTGGCTGCTTCTTCGATAGCCAAGTGAAAGCTGTGTTTCCCATGAAAAACACGTATCCTGCAGTGCTCTTTCAATCATCAATGTCTCCACACCAGTCACTGTCAGAATATCCAACTAGCTTGTAGTCTTCAGTCTTTGAATAAAACATCCCAAGTGATACTATTCCTTGGATGTATCTCAGAATTCGTTTCAGCGCTTTCCAGTGTGTGTGAACTGGCTCCTCCATGAATCTGCTCACTATGCCAACACTAAGTGAAATATCTGGCCTTGTGCATGTGAGATATCGAAGACTGCCTACCAAGCTTCGATATTTACTTCCTTCGACTCGTTCTTCTCCATCAAACTTCGACAGCTTTGTGCCTGGCTCCATTGGCGTCGAAATTGGGTTGCAATTCTTCATT